TTGGACGTTTTTGTGACTCCTATTTCAGCGCCTTAAGCTTTTTTGGAGCATTGTTGCACTTTGATTTTTTTCAAATGTGAGGATCCGACKTGTTTAACATCTTTTTGCGGTTTGTGTCTGTTTTTGCCGACAGTGTGAAGATAATCCCTGTAATGGTTTCCCGTGTTATCACCATGAAGGACCAGTTTGTACATGYGCTTTCGTGTGGATGGGCAGACACTGCGAAGTTAGAGGTAATACAGTCAATTCAAAAACGTTGACGTCGAACGACTCAAGCCTACGCGACTGGACCGAAAGGAATATGGCTAAAAATCAATGAAGCGGTTAAATATTCGTTCTGAATTAATTGTTCCCGCTAGTAATAAGATAATAATGGCGAGAAACAATCCATTAAATGCATGTCTTTGGGCTTAGGGAAAGAAAAACAAAGTAGTTATGATTCAGTTCACAATTTCGAAAATATGAAGGCATTAAAAAAACGTTTCCTTCAACACTTCCCACTCGCCTACGAAGGTTCGTGCTGTAAACCAGGCATAACTAGTCAGATAAAATTATGGAGTCAACTCGGCTTCAATGACTGCTACCCAGAGTTCCTATCGGTCCAGTCGCGTAGGCTTGAGTTGGTCGACGACAAAGTTTTTTGAATTGACTGTATGTGCGACGTACTACGATCCAGATCTATTCCAATCATTCATTTCTCACCTCTGGGGTCTCAGGTTTGATCCCTGTACTCGGAATCACGTGCGAGTAGTACAGTTTAAGTCTCTCCCTTGATTGGAGGGGTCTCCTCCGTGTTTACTKGTTGGGATTTTCTCCCCTCGTATTGAATCGCAGCACGCTAAATTCAGTTTAATTTGATCTGCGGGCTACCCGTRCCCTGTCTTAGATCAGCCCAGAGGTTGTTTCAGGGTTCGATCTGCGAGTTATCCGTGCCCTTACTTTGATCAGCCCAGTGGTTGTTTCAGGGTTCGATCTGCAAGTTAGCCATGCACTGACTTAATCAGCCCAGAGGTTGGTTCGGTGTTCCGACACTAGTAAAGGCTGCAAAACAAACAAAAAAAAAAAAAACACTACACTTGCCCAGTTTTAATGTCATTTTCTTGTTACATAAAGCATTGGGCATGGAAGATAGAACCATCCTCGACTCACAAGTGACTGCATCGTCGACTTATAAAAACTCGGGGCACGAACCAYATCGTGCTCGTCTCAATGCCTTTCCCATAATGCCGTATAGTACAGTCATAGATGTCGCTGCTTGGTGTGCTGGAGACCTCAAGGGTGACGAGTATTTGCAAGTTGATCTGYTTCGTGTTGTGACAATTACCATGGTTGCGACCCAAGGAAGGCCGTATARATACGATCAATTTGTAAAAAAATATCAACTTGGGTACAAAGAGGAATTAGGTACTAACGTGTGGAGGAAATACAAAGAGGGAGGAATCGTCAAGGTTTGTGTAAAAATAAAATAGATAAATCTATTTTTTGTGTCCAGTGCTTCCAACGCTTTTGCGCTAACTGGGGACACTTTTCACTTACACACACTACCACCACTACATTCGATATTGACCCCATGCATGTGACGTCAAAGGAGCTGGATCTGGAGGACAGAACAAAAGGATTCCAATCTACTGACAATTGGAGCCTATTGTTGTCCCCCAGATTGAGCTGCATTAAAAAGTGCTGAAGGGATCTATTCTATGCACATAACACTAAACTAACATGTTTCACAAAACCTCATCACCAACTCTTATTTAGATGCTTTTAAATCAGAAATGTTAAAGGAAGTCATATTCGATGGCCATGATTTTTTCTGCAATTCATTGATTTTTTCAATTAATTTCTTTGAACAAGAATATGTTGGGGTAATCAATTTCTGATTGCAATTTCATTTGTTCGCGAACGTCATTAAACAAACTGAATTTACACGTTGATTTTTTTTCGGAAAACTGGAGAACCGGCTGCGAAAAATGGCGACATCAGCTAGCGATTTTTCTGACACTTTGTTGGTTTTTACTGATTACAGGAATTCYCTGGTAATAGTGACATGGACACTGTAGTCCAACATCAGCTGTCGGAACATCTTAGAACACAGTTCGTACGATTTATCGTCTTGGAATGGAATAATTATATTGCAATGAGAGTAGAACTGTATGGTAAACCTTGAAAACTGTAATAAAGACCTTAAGGCYCCGTCCACACGTGTCCGTCAAAGGGACTAGGCACTAGCGTGCATTAGGGCGGATCAAGAAATTTCCGGATACGTGTGGACAGTGAAAACGATTCGAATACGCTGTGTGTGGACGCGAATATTTTCGTATCCGCAAAAAAAAATTGCGGATACAAAATTTTGCGGATACGTGTGTCCGGAAGTGTAAATAATTTCTCTTTGGGGTGTAATTGTTCATTGGAGATTTCATTCAAAACATTGTCAGTAAAGTCAACTCATCCACAGGGAAGACAGACTTTGAAGGCGCGCAACCCTCAAGGGAAATTATTCATACTTCCAGTTAACGACGCCGTCGTAGATTTTGCAAACCCTACTATATCAATGGCAGTGATAAACTATGACAATCTGGGACTTAATGACCCTAGAAGTGAATAACGTATTAACCATTCCGAGGTTGAGAGAAAATTGGGTTGTTTGCRTTACGGTGCATTGTAGGTATGCAATGGACGCCATCTTGGAAGTAAGYTCCCTMAACATACCCACAATGCACTGCAATGTCAACTCCACCCAGTTTATCTTCAACCTCGGAATGTCCAATATACATGCGTACATTTCAGTCCGTTTTCAAAGAACAGTCCCTTTCACAGTTCCCTGCGCCATCTTGAAAGGTAGCTGTGCCTTTGCATTGAATCGAGACGAACGGTGAGTTTGCAATGACAGAAAACCTTTTTCTAACACCTTGGRCAATTATTCACGTCTCTATTATTGCTAGCTCAATGTTTGTCTCGTTTCAATACAAAGGTGAGGCTTCCTTTCAAGATGGCGCAGGGAACTGTGAAAGGGACTATTCAAGAGCGTTTTAGTTAGAGTGGAACTGTATGGATCTTTTTCACTCGACAACAACTACATTGCATGARACTGATGCATTATGATCATAAGGGATGATTTTTAACATAAGCTAGTTTTAAGTATTTATAGATACTAGGTAACAAGTGGCGGAGACAGCTAGCTGCGATGACACCTATTAGTCCCTCCGACCTGACCATAAAATATCATACAGCATTTTCGTTTGAGACGTATATGACCATCAAAACTGTCAAACTAAAGACATGATGCACAATTTCGCCTTTAGATTTTCACCTTGGTTTACTTTCTTTCTCACKTTCTTTCTTTCTCTTTCTTGCTTCCTTCCTTCCTTCCTTTGTTTGTTTGTTTTCTTTTCTACAGTTGCATAGAAAAAAACTGTACACTGACTCCCTTGTCTAGYAGAGAGCATAAACATTACGCTCTACTTATGATCAACAATAGATCCCTTTTATACAAATGAACGCTAGTTTCCTACCGAGCTAACCACCAGTAGGTCTAGAACGTCTTTTTCTAGCTGTAACACGGCGTGAACGCAGAATGGAGACGTTTTACTACATGTGTTACATGATGGTTTAAACTTTCATCGCTACAATCTACATCCTACAAAACAGAACGACTAAATGTCAATTTCACATTTACATAATGAGACGGATGGATGGTTAGATAAGTAGATAGACGGGAAAATGGATGGAGGGAAGGATGGAATTGAACTGATGAGATGTATGGATGGATGAGACAGATGGGATGGTTAAATAATTAGATGAACAGATAAAAGGATGGATGGATGGA